GCTGCTGCTGTGCAAGCAGCTGCACAAGCTGCCGCAGAAGCTGCCGCAGAAGCTGCTGCTGCCGCACCGAATGTCGGACGCCGCAACCACCGCTACAACCTCCGCCACTGAAAGAGGACCTTCCAGGCGTCGTCGAAGCATTTCTCGTTTTCGTTTCTCCTTATAACTTCTCAGATGGCATTTCATTTCGTTTGTTTTTCATAAATACTTTTGCACCGTCGCCTTGTGCACCAGGAGCGTCACGCTCACGATCCTTGTCTACGTAAATGAGATGTGTTGAAATAGTGGTGAGCCATGACACCGCTGCAATTGCGCATTCCATGTCTTCAGAAAGAACTCGTCTTGTACGCCAAACCCACGGTCCACAAAGCGTTTGTTTATAGAGCTGTGGGACGCGGGCGATCACAAGGCACTCTCGAAGTGATGTCGACGGCCTTCAACTCGTTGCATGAGCCCAAGAGTACATAAACGATTTATGCACTCTTGATAAGCCCTACCTCGGACGCTGCCATCCGTGCTCGGCTTTCGACTTCACATTTTAATAGACTCGCACAATGCTTGGGTGTCGTGACGTAGTAAGTGTGAGTTTCATAGCGTAGCTTAGAAACTAGATTATCTACCAACCGGGCAGGAAGCAAGTAAAACGGACGGAGCCCAACGGCACCCAGTTTAGCGTTTCCCTGCTCGGCAGCAAGTGGTTTTCTAAGCGTTCTCTCTCTCCAACTTGTCTACCAAATGCGTCCTCGCGCAAGGAGCTTACGTCCTCCTCTTGACAAGCACTCGCCAGCGATCCTCCATGTTGGAAGCGTTCGCGATGACGAGCCAACAACGACGCTTTAAGACACCACCGAGTGACGCTCGGCCGTCACATATCACACTGCAAGCGATCGTTAAAGAACTCATTGTCACCAAAGCAGCGTTCTGTAGCACGGCCCCGTGGGACACAAGCGTGCTGTTGCGAAGATACAGACAGCACAGTCTCTTCACCAATCCATCAGCACATTCTGCGATTGCCAACGCAGGATGCAACAGCGTAGCCTAAGCGTTGGCGACTCGACGATACGTGCCAGTACAGTAGCAGGAGCTACTGTTGAAGAGTCCGTTCTTAAAGGTCAAACCATTCGAATAGAACCCACTCGGCCGTCTGTACATCCAGCAGGAGCTCAAGCACTCCCGTCAAACTACATGTGTGCAGCGCAGTGGTCGGAAGTCGCTCTGGAAACGGCAGGTGCGCTGTGTTCGGCGTACGTCGCATGATGGTACCGGTAGCGCAATATCCTGGCTGGCACCGAAAACGTGAGCAACAAAGGCAGCGCACACAAGAGTACCGATACCAAGATTCGGAGGAGGGTACCGTAGGCCGCGAGAAGGACTGCTTGTGGTCGAAGAACACCTAACCCTGCCGAGCCAGCTTCAACATGGCGGCTTGGGCCGGTGCTGCAGCAGAGTCTTTGATTTTTACGTGGTGGAGAGAGCACCTTCCTCGTTTCGAGTGATTCAAGGGCTCTAAGTCGTTTGATACTAGTACGTCGTGAACCCCGGCGTGGAGGGTGCAGCCGTGGGACCGCCCCGATCTCGCACGTTCAAATTGCGTTGTTTTTACGCTACCATACATTAGTTGCATGTTTTGACCAAAATAACACAACACGATCTGGCTTCTCCCCAACAAATTTCATTTGCAGACGTTCGATCGCAGGAGCAAGTGAACAAGATCAAGACGCCCAATCCCAACCTGTACGACGTCGACTAGGCGGCCATCGCGCACCGGCACGCGCAAGGCCGCGACGTACGGAGTACGCTTTGGCTCCACGCGCCGTACAACCTGCCCAAGGACGCCTGCATCTTATGGCTCAAGAAGGAAGGACAGAAAGAATGTCCGACCTCTTACAGTGCCGGCGCGCGGCATGGCATCGATCAAGACAAGCGGTCGCGCTTTGCTCGTTTCGACCCACGACGTCCTCGTCGCTCAAGGAGCACCACGTGGGCACCGATGCCCACCAGCGAGCGAAGACGTTGAGATGGGCGCCTCTCAAGTCGACAGCTCGGAGCAGCCCTTCGACTTGAGCGGCGCCCATCTTGACGTCTTGACTTGCTGGTGGGCCTCGGTGCATACGTCGTGCTCCTTGGGCGATGAGGACGTCGTGGGTCGACACGAGAAGAGCGCGGCCGCTTATCTTGATCGACGCCATGCCGCGCGCCGGCACCGCAAGTGGTCGAGCGTTCTTCCCGTTCTTCTAGAACAAGACCCGGACACGGCAACTGCATGATTCGTTCATATTGCGGTGCGTCACGATGGATCTAAACTTGCTTTTTGTGCACGTTGTTTAGGCCGGACACCACCGCGTCGTTCGCTCGTGCAACGACAAGATTTTCCCGTTGCTGCGGCCGACCGACCGTGAACCGACGACCATTCGATCGTCTTACGAATGCGTCACGAGTGCGGGGATCGTGGAAGCCGCAACCTCAAGCCGGCTCTTTGAACCGCGACCCTGACGACTGCAGAACATTATGTGGCATCAAGTCGTCGGGCGGAGCGGCGCCAACAACCCAGTTTGAAGGTGCGCTGGAGCACGATCCTTGCAATCGCGACGTACTCCCTCGTACTGCTTCCAACGGCCTTCAACTCGACGCATGAGCCTTGCCGTGGACGCTTTCATCCACATTCGACGGTGTCTTCTATGATCGTAGGCCTCGCGTGTGGCCCAAGAACCTTGGCCGTCGTCGTATTGTCGTAGTAAAGTGTGAAAGATCGCGCTTGGAAGAAAATCACTTTGCTTTAAAATTATGTTCCCCTTCAACACATTGGTCAACGCACAGGCGAGAGTGGAGTGTACCAACCCACGACCGTGCTCTAGTACGCCAGTCGTACGCGTGATGTGTGTCGTAGGTGCTCGTTTCGGGCTTCCAAAGAGATCGGCATGGGACCGTTCTCTGTCGTCGGGAACCCGCCGCCAAGAGCTGCCGCCATTTGATGCAGACAAACTTTGTCAAGTTCAACTTGCGTTCTTTTAGTCCTCTCATACACTGAATATGTCTTTTGTCTAGAATACCCCAAAAAGTTAGGGTTGGCAGCGGCCACCTCGGCTTTGCGGTCGGGTGGTGAACGCAAGAGTGGCACCCAGCAGGCCATTGCGCAGCATGGGGCTTGCAGTATCCAAAGCTTGGACGAGGCATATGCAGGCTGCATATGCTCGTGGTGGCCCGCTGCTGCATACCGGTAATGCAGCGGCGGGCCACCACCGAGCCGCGCCACCGTGCGCTCCGATGCGAGATTCCCCTTGAGCTTTTCCACATTCACCGAGAACGACAACCAAACTCATGTATTACGTCTACCGTCTCTGCGCTCACACAACCATGATGTACGTGTACTAGTAGCGCCATGCTGCCCAGTGGAAGGAGCAGAAGGAGCACTTCCAAGTGCTACTGTACATCCTGGCTGGCACCGAAAACGTGAGCAACAAAGGCAGCGCACACAAGAGTACCGATACCAAGATTCGGAGGAGGGTACCGTAGGCCGCGAGAAGGACTGCTTGTGGTCGAAGAACACCTAACCCTGCCGAGCCAGCTTCAACATGGCGGCTTGGGCCGGTACTGCAGCCGAGTCTTTGATTTTTACGTGGTGGAGAGAGCATCTTCCTCGTTTCGAGTGATTCAAGGGCCCTTGTCGTTTGATACGTCGTGAACCTCTGCGTGGAGGGTGCAGCCGTGGGACCGCCCAGATCTCGCACGTTCAAATTGCGTTGTTTTTACGCTACCATACATTAGTTGCATGTTTTGACCAAAAGAACACAACACGATCTGGCTTCTCCCCGACAAAGTTCAATTGCAGACGTTCGATCGCAGGAGCAAGTGAAGAAGATCAAGATGACCGCCCCCAGCCTGTACGACGTCGACTAGGCGGCCGTCGCGCACCGGCACGCGCAAGGCCGTCGATACCCCGCCGGCGGCCGTCCCGCGTCCATCGCCGCTCACCGGGTTACAACGCGAGTGCAAGGCGACGACAAGGTGTCCGGGATGACGCTCCGCGCCGAGATCATCTTTGAGACGGTCTTGGTTCGTATCGAGAAGCAAGTGGAACTCCCAGTCGCGCCGCCGCTCTCTACGTCGCCGAAGCAGTACCAAGACGTACGTCTTTGGGCTGCTCGTCGTCGTGGAGGCGCTCGACCTTGCGTACGTTTTCGATGTCTCGGCGTGCATTGACGTCCCGTTTGCGTAGCCCCGACATGCGCAGCTCCGTGCGAGCGACGTGTGAAGGGTCGTGTCTGGAACACACGGCGCGACGACGCTGACCGAGGTGACGTTCGCGGTCTCGCATCGGCACGAAGCTGCATGACGTCATCTATTTTGCGGTGCGTCACGATGCGTCACCATTGGTTGCCTTAATGATGCACGTGGTTTAGGACGGACGAGGATCCGCTCGTGCAACGACAAGGCGATGAAGATGCTGGTCTTGCCTCGCTCGATGGACGGTGTGGGCACATCGATCAAGCTCAAGGCCATCGGGAGCGTCACGACCTCCCTTTGGGAGTACATGGCGGTCGCTTCCATCGGCGATATCCCGCCGCACCTTCAAGCCGGGCTGCTTTCTGCGCCGCTCCGCTCGACGACCGCCATTGCGGCCTCGTCGATCGCCTCCAAGGTATTGCTGTTCGCATGTGTGTCGTCGCTCATGGATCGTGTTAGGACGTTCCCGTCAAGGCAACGCTCGTCCATCAGGATGGGGAGATGTCTGCCCACGACGTATGGTGTTGATTTCATGCAGCATCCTTTCGATATGTATAAAACTAGGTCGACCCCACGTGCATCCCAGCACCGTTGCGGGCGCGTCTCGCGGCTGAAACCGACCCGAGCCAGTGCAAGGCCGTCAACCTCGTCGCAAGCGAGACGCCCGGCATCAAGCTGCTTCAAGGGCCGTCGGGCCAGTCCCGCACCATCCGCATGGCGACAAGTGCGCGGCGGCCGACGAGCCAACCCATGTGCTCTTGTGCGCGCCGTCCAACTGCGCCGTCGACAGCCTCGTGGCAAGCCTTCTGAAGGACGGCATCTTGGGCCGCGACGGTCACGCTGTCGTCGTCACGCCGCCACAATGTGTGTCGTCGGGTTCGGGCCGTGTCTCCACCGTTTTGCGGCTTGGTCGCGTCCAGGAAGGCGCTCCAGCAATCGTGCAGCAGGCCTGCCTCGACAACGTCGTGGCCGCAGAGGTCGCAAGTCTGTCCGCGTCCAAAGAGCTGCAACGCGTGCGGCGCCACGAAGAAGCGATCAACGTCGGTGCGTCGTCTTTGAGGTAGACACCACCTTATCGGTCGTCTGTATCTCATAGGTTCTAGACGCAGTACCGCATGCACCCATTCTTGCGCGAGTTCCCGTCCAAGAATTTCGACATTGGCATCTTGTCGGTCGATCCCTCTGACGGTGCACCAGATGCTATGCATAATTTGTCGTCCTCGTGCATCTGGTGTAGACCGAAGACCACCGCGGCGCGGCCTCTCGTGCAAGGACAAGAGCCTCCCGCTGCCTCGATCGACCGCGTCTCGCGCCATCGCCAAGCCGGCTCTTTGCTACCGCGACCCATGACGATGGCAGAACGCATTGACTGTCGTCTTGGATCGTCGGGCGCCAGCAGCCCGGCTTGGAGAAGTCGTGGGACGCGGGCGATCGCAAGGCACTCTTGAAGTGATGCTCTAGTACGTCCTTCAACTTGCTGCACGAGCCCTGCCTTGGACGCTGCCATCCATGGTCGGCTCTCGATTTCACATTTTGCTAGGCTCGCGCAAGGCTTGGCAGTTGTCCAGTGTAGTTGGTACTCGTAACAACTTGTGAATATTTCGGTGTGCAGAAACCATTTTCATTTTCATCCGCATTCAAAACCATCCAGTAACTAGCATGCCGTAGAGATGCCATCCCGATCATCTGAAATCTGCGTAAATAGAAGACCAACGCTTGCATGCAAGGGTACATGCAGACGTGGCAGGTTCCAGCACACTGAGTTATTGACCCCTCGGTATGGCCACGTTGTGTCAAATGAGACGAGGAAGCAGGAGCGTTCCCGGTCACCAAATACGAATTACAGACTGTACCAAGTTTGCGCCAAAACTTGCTACACTGGCCTTTCTATAGATACCGGTAGGACATCTTGTCCATTTCCGCTTAGTGAAACAAAATGTAAAGAAGCCCAAGCTCGGGGAGAGCTGGTCCATCGTCGCAGTCAAGGCCCGCGCTTCAGCCTTCCAGCACGCCTCGCTGTCCGACGACATCCTTCTCATCGTCATGGTCATCACAGTCAAATTGCATATATGCTTTGAGGCCTTTTCTTGTACAGGGAACGCGCTCTGTTGTCGACGAAAGACAGCTTGTACATTGATCAAATATAGCGATAGAAAAGATGATCGGTTCCTCCAGTAACTACAACGAGATGTTGAGCTCGGCCTGGAAGAACGAGTCGCCGGGCATGCGGGCAAGGATCTGGCTGTACGGGTCCACGGGCGGCGAGTACATTTCAAACGTCAGCGGCGCGCTCGTGATCTTGCTCAGATCCAAGCGGAAGAAGGTCCAGCAAAACACTTCCGGGCCGTCCGTGTGGTAGTCGTACCGAAGCAGCTCAAAGACCGCGACGCAGCCTTCCGTCATGTGCTCGAGCGGCACCTGGAGATGCCACGTGTTGCCAAACCAGAGGCTCGGGCCGGTCCCTGGATCAGCGCATCCGGCGTCGTCTGCGGCGTGTCGACCACCGCGCGCGCGGGTCCATCGAGTAGATGCGGAAGTGGGGCGTCTGCCATCACGCCGCCCGCAATCGCGACGGCGC